CACATGCCCCCTAGATTTGTTTGTGGAGTGGGGGTGGATGCAGGCTGCCCGCCCTGCTGCCCTCCCCCTAAGACCCCTGCGCAAGCTGTGCTGCCATGACAAGGTGCCCCCTGCCTGGCTGGAAGCAGTGGGGGTGATGGTACAGTGATGGTGGTGTGGCCAGCACTGGGCTCCTGGGGGGAAGGCAGCAGGGTGGGGAGCCTCGTGCCTGCAGTGGGTAGCCCACATCCACCCCCACCATGCCACGGGCTCTGCTTAGCTCAGCTTGGCTCTGCTTTGGCTGTGCTGTCAGCGGGTGAGGGAGAGGGCAATTACCTCCCCCGGAAAAATAAAAGTCATTATCTATGGAGGTGGGAATTACATCTTTGAATTAACTCTGAAGGGGGTCCAATACAGTCTTGCAGTTACTGGTTACAGTATTAGGACAATAGTATCATGAATTAATCTTTCCTAAGTAAGGGGCAACAAATTTTGCTGTTTAAGGAACAGAACAGGGACAGACTCAAAGAACATCAGATCCCTGAAGCCTGCTCTCTGCCTCACCTCACCCTATTTAACCTGGTCTGTAGGTATCCCACATAGGGCATATATAGAAAATTACAATCCCTCCTATTACTGACTCATAGATATCAACATTAAAATACTATAATTAGTTGTAACACTTGAAGTAAGAAAACATTTACTATAAGCTTTATAAAATCATATATATTTAAGCATTTTCTTAACAACATGGCTTCTATATACTTAAAAGTGATGTAAAACAAAATAGTGCAATTTAATAACAAAGGTTAGTGCAGGACTCATATTAAATAACAAACCAGACATTGTAAATTATATTATGTTGTTTTTCAAAACATAGTTAGCTCAGCACTCCACTTTGGAAGAGATCTAAGATACCATTTTCAAAGGCACTAAAGTTGACTCGGCACATCTAGAGTGCAGACAGAAATGACATTTGTTGCACAGTCAGACCCTTGAAATTTCTCTAAGCCATCTACAATAAGAAAAGCACGGCTCTAGAGCCCTCTGATTGTGTGACAAATTAATCCTCATTGTATGAAGGTTCAAATGAAGCCGCTCCTAAGTGGATCGACATAATTTCTGTTGGTTCTGGCTGCAGCTGCTGTCTCTGGATGGGAACAGGAGAAAGTAGCGGAGGGTGGTTTGGGGGAGGGGGGGATGGGAACCCCTCCCCTTGGGGTTGAGACAACCCCAGAAGGGACCTTCCTCCCCTGCCTTTTCTCTTCTCCCATCCAGAGACATCACCAGAGCTGCAGGGAAGGGGCGGAGCCAGGGAAAGACAGTTTCTCTTTCTGGATCAGCTCCAAATTAGAGCCAATCTTCCACCCTCCTGATCCAACAGCTAATGTTTGTTGGATTGGAGGGATCCGTCTAACTCACAGCAATTCATAGAAATTAGTTAGATCCAAGAGCTGCGCTTCTGTCTGCACCCTTACGTGAGACGTTTACTGCAGAGCTGCCTAATTAGTTCTGCAGTAAAATCTCAGCATCCACACATGCAGCCCTATTAGGCCACAGTAAACTAATTAACTCCACCATAGTTTAGTACTTGTAAATACAAGTTCCATCCTATGGTGTTATTCTTTACTGCGCAGCAGTGCATGTATGGATGATGACAGGGCTGGCTGGGGCACAAGGGTGCTTCAGTGTAGGGGCTGCCTGCTGGCTAGTCCTGCACTGGAGCACCCTCATACTTCAGCCAGCCCCTCTGCAGGACCTTGAGCAGGGTCAAAGTAGCCTGGGCTGGCAGGCTGGCTGCCTGGGCTGCTCCAATCCAGCTAAGAGTGCTGTGGTCCCAGGTGCACATGTAAATGTGGGGCCCAGAAGCAATAAACTTTGGCATGATATGCACTGGAGTTTATTGCATATCATTAATTTCATATGTAGACATGCCCTCAGGGGCCTGAGGTTAATATGTGGCTACTATGTAACAAGCTCTTTTTAAAATAAGCCTTAGGTGCTTTTGAAAACGTTATCATTAGTGGCTTTAAAGCTAGCATGGGACCTGGTTGTGAAGTCAGATAATAGTAAGCTGAATAATGTTCTGCTATTAGCTAAAGAAATATCTTTAAATTAAAATAACATTTCTATCTGAAACTATTTTACAACTGTTATGAGTACCCAACAAAAAAAATAAAAGAAAATATTTTTCTTTTTTAGTTTATGGACTTAACAGAGTTTTGTGCGTCAGTCTCTCCCATGTATTATTGGATAAGTTCAATTAGCAACAGAGATGAATATTTTTAAAAATAGGAAAGTAAGGTGGGTAAAGCAAACATTGACAGGGAAACTAAAGAAGTAGCACTGTGTTTGAAATAATTTGTTACTTTTTTTTATTTTAAGGGGTTGATCCCTTTAGATACAAACAAGAGCTTCTCAAATAAAAGTATCTGATTAGCTTACTTGGGGCAAAGATCCAAGTAACACTTTTAAGTGGAGTAACTTAATTTTAAAAAAATTTAAAATTTAAATTAAAAAATTAAAAAAATTAAATTTAAAAATTAAAAAAAAAATTTAAAAAAACTAAAAACAAGCATGCAAGATTTGCAAGCTAAAATCCCAGTCCCTTTTAAACCAATAGGGATTTTATCACTGATTTTCAAAAAGTCAATATTTCTTCCAATCAATCTATGTAATAAGCAGCAAAAGTAGAGTGACCATATGCCCCATTTGTACAGAGACAATCCTGTTTTAAACACCGGTCCCAGGCATCCTGTTGGTTTCTTCAGATGAATGTTTTAGATCCATTTTCAGAAGCTTCCCCTGAGAGGAGCAGGAGAGGTTTCTGCAAACCAGACATAAGTGTTCATTTAAAGCAGGCTGGTCAAAGATACAGCCCACAAGCTGGACTTGGCCCACGAAGCCACATCTTCTGGCACCAGATGCTGGCCCTGGGTCTTGAGTTGACTCATACACTGCACTGGGGCTGAACTGGCTTTGCATACAGGACCGCTCTGGAACCCATGCTACACATGGCACCTCTGTGGGGCCAGTCTGGGACCTCTCCCACATGCTGGTCTGGGGCTATGTTGCAAGCAGCAGCTGCTGCAGCCAGTCCAGGACATTTGACTCACTCAGGGAACTGATTGGCAGGATCCCCTGGGAGGTCAGGCTGAAGGGGAAAGGAGTCCAGGAGAGCTGGTTGTATTTTAAAGCAACCTTACTGAGAGTGCAGGGAGAAAACATCCCAATGTGCAGGAAGAATAGCAAGTATGGCAGAAGACCAGCTTGGCTTAGCAGGGAAGTCTTCAGTGAGCTAAAACATAAGAAGGAATCTTAAGAGGAGTGGAAACTTGGATAAATGACTAAGGAGGAGTATAAGAGCATTTCTTGGGCATGCAAAGATGAAGTCAAGAAGGCCAAAGTGCAAGTGGAGTTGCAGCTAGCAAGGGACATGAAGGGTAACAAGAAGGTTTAAAAATAGGTCAGCAACAAGAGGAAGGTCAGGGAAAGTGTGGATTCCATACTGAATGGGGTAGGGAACTTAGTGACAGATGATGTGGAAAAGGCTAAAGTACTCAATGTCTTTTTCATCTCAGTCTTCACAGGCAAGGTCAGCTCCTGACTATGGCACCTGGCAGGATGGTTTGGGGAGGAGATGGGCAGCCAACAGTGGCAAAAAAACAGGTTAAGGGCTATTTAGAAAAGCTGAACATGTACAAGTCAATGGGCTGAAAGCAATGCCCCCAAGGGTGCTGAGGGAGTTGCCTGATGTGATTGCAGAGCCAGTGGCCTTCATTTTTGAAAACTTGTGGCAGTTGAGAGAGGTCCCAGACAATTGGAAAAGGGAAAACATAGTGCCTGTCTTTATAAAAGGGAAGAAGGAAGATCCGAGGAACTACAGACCAGTCAGCCCCACCTCAGTCCCTGGAAAAATCATGGAGCAGATCCTCAAGGAATCCATTTCTAAGCACTTGAAAGAGAAGAAGATGTTTAGGAACAGTCGGCATGGATTCACCAAGGGCAAGTCATGCCTAACCAACCTGATTGCCTTCTATGATGAGATGACTCACTCTATGGATGCAGGGAGAGCAGTGGATGTGATATACCTTTACTTTAGCAAGGCTTTTGATATGGTCTCACACAACATTATTGCAAACAAGCTAAGGAAGTATAGGTTGGATGAATGGACTCTAAGGTGGATAGAAAACTTGCTGAATTGTTGGGCTCAAAGGGTAGTAATCAATGGCTCGATGTCTAGTTGGCAGGCAGCATCAAGTGGAGTGCCCCAGAGGTCAGCCCTGGGGCCAGTTTTGTTCAATATCTTAATCCACTCACTACCCCTTCCAGCTCAAGCTGGGCAAACCCCAGCTCAGAGCTCCCTTCCTTCCCTTCCCGCCCCCATCCTGCAGATATCATCGGGGGGGGCGGGGCTAGGGGAGAGAGGCTGCAGACAGGCAGCTCCTCTGGGATGGACTCTGAAATGGAGCTCAATCCTCTGCCCCCCAACCCAATAGCAAATATTTATTGGGTTGGGGGTGGGGGGGTCTAAATCATGGTGCCTTCTATGAAGTGCCATGAGTTAGAGCAGGGAGCTGCACTTCTGTCAATGTCCATGATCACCCTTTTTTAATAGTAGCCTTTGTCTACCTGAAGTTTAGTTGAAAAGAGGATGGAGCTAGACTGTTCTCAGTGGTGGCAAATGACAGAACAAGGAGAAATGATCTCAGGTTTCAGCAAGGGAAATTTAGGTTAGACATTAGGAAAAACGTTCTTACTGGGAGGATAGTAAAACACTAGAACAGGTTACCCAGAGAGGTTGTGGAATCTCCATCCTTGGAGGTTTTTAAGACCTAGCTAAAAAAAAGCTTTGGTTGGGATGATCTAGTTGGAGATGGTCTTGCTTTGAGAAGCGGGTTGGACTAGATGACCTCCTGAGGTCCCTTCCAACCCTAATTCTCTATGATTCTGTGTTTTTATGACTTGTGCTGCATGTGACACCTGCCCTAGACCAGCTGGAGTGGGTGCTGCATGTGGCTTATATCCTGGACTGGCCAGAGCAGGCACTGCATCAGGGCAGAGGGGGATCTTTGGGCCCAATCCAGCCCATGGCATTGGCTCCATGCCATTCATTCAGCCTGTGCACCAGTTTTGTGCCACCTACCTGGCCCATAGGCCAGGTGAGTTTGACACCCCTTATTTAAAAAACCTTCTATGATGCTCAGGACAGGTGTCTCACAATCCTCATTGCCACCCAGCTCACTACTGCATTCCACTCTGCAACCTCTTTTCCCCCACATCTCCCCAGCTCACACACTTACTCTGTTAAAACCAGAGCTTGGATACAGCTTGCTGGAGAGTAGGAGGGAGGGGAGCCTGTCCCATTTTGAGATTCAAGATACATAGTGACCTAAACAAAGAAAAAGGTAGAACTTATAAACAATTGCAGAGATATAGAAATGAGAGAAAATGTAAGACAGATTGACAGAAACACTGGCATTAGGGCTGATAATTACTTTGCAATGTCTAGTTTTACTTCATTTCATTTCCAAAAGTCCCTAAAAAGATTATACTAATTTTAAAGCTTTTCCTTTTGGTTTTAATTTTAGTGACTCGCATAATCCAATAGGAAGAGAAACTAGAACTTCTTCTTGCTTTTTGTGTTGTAAAAATTCCATGTACTATACAATCTACTGTAAGAATGTACATTCTGTTGGTTTATGAGACACAGGACCTAGTAAAGTGTTTTCAGGGAGGATCACCTGTACTTCATCCTGGCCATTATCAGACAAGGATGGAGAATCCAAGGGCTCACGCTTGATAGTTTGAACCAAGCAGGGATTTTTAAGATGACACTGCATTTTAAAAATCTGGTTGTTCTGTCCTTCTTCTTCTCTTGTACTAGGGCTATAGAACTGTGTGTAGCATCCTGTATATGGCATGTCGTGCATGCTTTCCAAACATGCAGAGTTCGGGAGGCAAAATGACATCACCTCTTTGTTACAAAACCCTTTACAAGGCCTGTTTATGTTGAGATTGTTGGTATGATTTGTTACAATGCATTGCCAACTATGCGATGTGCCAACATAGTGCTTTGGTTTTTGACAAAGAGAAAGCTGCTCACTGAGATCTAGTTCTGTTTTAAGGTGCACCTTGTTAGGGTAACTAATCAGCTGTTTTCTCGCTGTGCCTTTCTCATCCATCCAGACTCGATTTTGTGATGCTGTGTGGTTGCCAGCTACACTTTCAGAATCAGAATCATATTCAGTCTTAATAGATATCTCTGGAGAAAATGTTGTATCAAACAGAGTTTCTGGGGATATTAATGGCCGCTGCAATTTCATATGCTCTGTATTGCAGTTCTCTGTTTTTAGCTGCTGTAAGCCTGAATAAGGCTGGCAATTTTCTGTGCTACCCCAGTGGGAAGGACAGGTTGTTGCTAAATTTAAAAAGCTTTGGTCTCTGCTATAGAATGGTCTGACTATTCTGTTTGGACACGAATTGCACTGATTTATGGAACAAGAACTTGATGAATTCCTTAAAGTCCAAACGCTGTTTGTGTTATAGTTGTTTTGGACACCTGAAAGTGACATATTAGCATTCAGAGGGTCCTCTTGCAGAAAACCCTTGTCATTTGTACTAGGCTCAAACTTCACTTTTATGTTATCCTGTTCATTTTTTACTGTTGTCCAATTGATATGCTTCATCTGTCCCAAAGCTTCAATGGCACAATTATAGGTAAGAGCTTCCTGGTTTCCTTTCAAACAGGTGATGTTCAGGTGCTCATCTTCTTCTCTGTCAATAGCACAAAAAGTCAGTCAGCTAGCTGAATGCTTCTGAAATAATAGCTGATACAAACAGAATACATGATAGGATGGGTATGGGATGAAAGTTTCATTGACGCGTTACAAGTAAGTTGCATGATTCATAACAAACTATTAAGCTTGTTATTAGTACATATTCCATATCTATCCTATACACACAGAATGAGTGCCAGGCCATCTGTATGTGGTGCTATTTCATTGAAACGACTGCATGCTTGCTTTCTTCTATTCCATTTTTGTACACATTTAATCATTACCTTAAAATTATTTTACCAGTAAATATTATAATGACTAGCTTGTACATTTATTTATCTGTATTAAAACACTACTACATATTTCTTTGGGCTATAGTGAGTTAATTTGCTCAGTACTTGTTAATGTCTATTTAAGAGTATGGCCTCAACATGCAAGTATAAGGATCCCCAGTAGAGGGAGTTCGCACTGTTAAGGTAAACAAAATGTCACTACAACAAACATCGATTAAAGAAACGAAAAATATATAATTAGTTTTGGCCTAAAAGCATTAATGTGGTGTACCCCCCTAATAAATATTATTATAGTTAGTAATTCTTTGAATGGAATTGACCCAAGGTGTGTTTCTTACAGAAGTAAATTCTCAGGAGAAAGGGCAAACTGAGAAACAATATCAGCAGCTTTGATTTCAGTATCAAGAAAGATTACTTGATGGGAAAACAGAATCCACTGAAAATTGGGAAAAATATTTAACATCCAACATAAGCAGGAAAGCAGAAAATAGGGCCATTCAGAAACACAGCATTATGAAAAACATTTTAAAGTGCCTGTATATAAGTAGGGATCATCAGGAAAAAGAAACCATTTTATGTCAAGAAAACTTAACTTTCTTGCACCCTCCTGCACACTAGCAAGGAAAGGTATGGTATAAGAGAGTTTTACCCAAGGTTCACCTTATTGTCTGTCTTTAGCCTAAAATTCCATGTCAAAAACATTTGCAAATTTATTCTGAATTCAGCAGATCTTTCTGGCCAAGAAAGAGCATTGCAAAAAGTCAGTCCATTTTGTTTAGACATTTTCAGAACTTAACTTTTCAGTTCCCATTTTGAAATACATCTTTGTTTTGAAATTTACCTAAATTTACCTAAATTCAAGTTAATTTAATTTTAAGTAGAACAAAATCTTAAATTTAACCTGAAATTTTTTTTAAGGAGAGAAGGATTGTTTTGGCAGGAAAAGCAAAACACTTTCAGTTTGGGTGTGAACCCAAAGCAAAAAATTTCCATCCTATTTTGGTTTGGGCAACCACAGGACATGACTACACAAGACACTGTACTGCACAGTAGACTAATCTACTGCACAGTAAAGCATCACAGCCTACACGTGGACAGCATCTACTGCACACTGAATTCATCTACTGTGCAGCTGGCTACTACTTGTAGATACAGATAGTACGTTAATCATGCAGTAGCAACTGTGCAGTTGCACATGTGTAGACAGCTGACCAGGAGCAAATTGCCCAGGCAGCAGGGGGCAGAGGAACTGTCCCCTCCCCAGGGCAGCTGCCTCCCAGCCCTGATCAGTAGATCAGGGGGCAGGACTGGGAAACTGTCCCTTCCCTCAGCAGCTGTTTTCCAGTCCTGTGCCCTGATTGGCTTAAAATTTTACACAATCCTGCCAACCATAAAATGGTGCATTGTCTTTCAGAAACTTACTTTAGTGTTTGTTGTGAACCAATGACATATTCTGAACAGCCACTTCTGTAGAGAACTTGAGTACTGGTTTGTACCCAGACCCACTGATCTTCATTTGTTTGTACTTTGACAAGGGCAATACCACTTTCTCCATTATTCTTTGCTATATAAATTAAGAGAAAATATATTTTATTAAAAATATAATATTAGTTTAACACAGCAAATTATTAGATACTCACAATGTGTACTTAATATGCTGAAATCAACCAGTTGTATAGAAATGT